TTTAATACTCTCCAGCACTAGTATATAGAGAGTCATTACACATGGAAAGATAAGGGAGAAATCTGCCAAAAGAAGCTCAAGTTTAGAAGGGAGGGTGGAAATACCATTAAAAACCATGGAGAAAGCAGTATTTTATTACTGATGACAAGGAGACTAAGAACAGACTATTATTGTCCTTTTCCTTGCTGCCTACATCTCCATGGTCAACATACTCAGAAGCCTTACAATGGGCAAGTTTCTAAAGGAAACTTTATAAAAAGAGAAGGAGATTCAGGGAAAAAATGATGTGTTCAGCAGAGAGCCTTGAAGGAAAAAGAGGAGAAGGATGATTTACTAGAGCAATCCCAAAGACTCTGAATGGAGTACATTGCACTGGAACTGGGCCCCTTGCTTTTATTCTCCCGGTATGGCTCACCACCCTTGTGCATATTACTGCAGTCACTGGAAGCTGCTGACTTTTTTCCATCAATCCATAAGACTTCAAACATATAAGAGACAACCTATTTGTATTAATGAGAGGCATGCTCACAGGACCCAATGTGATCTGACCCAATATATCCTCAGTGCCACCTGACAGCAGTTCAAAAATAGTGCTGACAAAACGGACGAATTATGGGACCCCATGAGAAAAGTCAGAAGAATTTGTTAATCTGACATCCCGTAGACTCCAAAATCACAACCAAGTAGCGTGGCATTGCTCCACAGGGCACTTGTTCTGAATGTCCCAGGGGTATTTCAGATGAGCAGAGAGCTATGGGAGAATGCTAAGTAAGTACCTTAAAATGGTCAGACAGAACAGCACAGATGAGCATCAGTTTGGCAGAGAATGAATGCGCAATGATTGGTCATCACCCACTAGAACTGCACTGGGTTTTTAAACACTTTACTAAAATCTGAAGAATTTTATCTGTGGTACATGCATGCTCCTTATGAATGATCAGTGTATCATCACAGGTTAGAAAAAAAGGGTAATAATAAATTGTCTAGTCATTTCTGTCCTGTATAATTATGCTTGAAAGTAAAAAAGTCTGCTTTGTTTCAAGCACCTAGCCCCTGACAATGGACAAAACGTTTGTGGCTTCATCAAAACAAAACAAAAAAAAAAAGCAAAGAAAAGGAAAATAACAGAACAGTAAGAATTACAGGATTGTGTTTGCATCCAGTGGATGATAGGTAGAGAAAAAGGAAAACAACACAATGGTTGGAATGACAGGTTTTTATTTATGCCTAGTGAAATATAGAATAAAATTAAATCTGTCCTAGACGATGAGACTATATGAAACAGATATTTTTAATGAGTCCATGGAGAGATGTAGATAGAGGTACTTATGAGTCCACACAGCTGCTTTTATCATCAGCTTTAATAGGAAATAAACTTAAAACGAAAGCCAGTAAGGCCTTCAGCAGCAATATCAATATGTACTTTATTCCCTTTTCTTCCTCTTACTCAAATCTTGGCTTTTATTAGTCTGATAGAGCAATCAAAACAGCTTTCCCTCGTAGCATTACAGTGCATGAAATGAAGCTGAGGACTAAACTTTTACAACAAAAAGGTTTTTTCTTTTAATATATATATGTGTATGTAATAGAAATAATGTCCGAGTCCTTCTGCTGCTCTCTTCTTTTTTCTTTTTATTGGTTAGGTCCAGAAGTAGAGACTACCTGTATTATTTATAGCTTGACCAAAAGAAGGATATCTCGAAGGAGACCATGATCAGTCCTTGTTTTCACAGGGCTTTCCAGATTAATTTTGCAGACTTCAAATATTAAAATAATAGGGATGCTGCTGGGGCAAGCACACCGTACCTCACTCCAGAGTATGGGATAATTAGCTCCTCCAGTCTTTTGAGCTTTATTTATCACTACTTTATGTTATGTCTCACTTGTGCTTAATCCTATTCATCTGGATGTCATGCTCTGTGCACGGCGGGGCAGCCCAGGCAGAGGTTTGTGGTAGCATGACACTGCTTGCTGAGTTTATTTTTCCTCTGACCCTTACTGTCAACAGTAAACCTAAAATAGACTTGTATCCCCTGTGGCTTTGCTCTGAAGTTTGCTTGTCAGCCTAGCTGCCACTGATTATTAGGAAGTGCTTCTTGTAAGTGATAAATACAAATCACAAAGGGATATTTCATTTCATTGCCTACGTCTGTGTTCAAACTAAACTCAGAATGTGTTCTTTGTTCTGGTATTAAAGAATCACATGTGCAGTACTTCAATTCTGAAAGCTCCTCAGTGCAACGTTTACGAGATTGTACACTGTAAGTCCTCATGCACACTCCTGAAAAGACATTTTGAGGGCAAGTACAGCTTCTGGTCCACATCTGGGAAGTGAGTGAATTCTGCTCATCCCTCCTCAGTGTCTCAGACACATGTTGTTTCCCTGAAGCAGCACCTTCTCTTTCCTCTAGGGCTTATCTGAGCAGAATCCAGCCAACACGTTGCTTCCTACTAAACAGAGTGCCATAAAATTACCCAGTGGTAATTACCTTACCTTAGTGAAAATTCTCTGACTGCAGTAAATTACCCAGCAGACCTCAGTAAAAATTAATTGCGTAAGTCTGCCCCAGAGGCTGCTTTTGAAGCTTTAAAGTGAAATCAAATCATTTGAACTTCAAACCTAATCATCGTGATTCTAAAATGGCAGCTGTGATATGATCCGTGCTAACGGACTCAGTGAGATTTTGCTCAAAAGCTGACCACACTCCCAAATGACAGCACTAATAAGCTAAATATGTGTTATGTAAAGAAGTGTCTAGAGAGGCAATTTTGAGTAAATTCTATATTGGCAGACACAGATGTGCAGTGAATTGTCAGTCTGACAAGTCTATAGCCATCAGCTAACTTGCTTCTGCGGGCTATTCCAACAATGCTTGTGTAATAGGCTGTTTCTTCATTTGTGGGTTGTTATTAGATTCTTTTGCAATGAATGGCCAAACTTGACTTTAAAATTAGGCAGCTATTCCAAAAGCATGTTGGCTATTGTCTGGGAAATAAACTTATTGATTTTGAATTAAGTAAACAAAACGCCGCAAATGCAGCAGACGACAGATA